CGCGGCCGTTGTTGGAACGGGGAAAGTCACAGGCGTGGGTGGCTGGGAAAGAGATCATCAGAGAATCTCTCTCCTTCGCAGCTTCTCTTTCCTATGCCTCCCATGCCCCTGCCTTTCCCTTTCCCCTTCCCTCTTCTTCTTCTTCGTCAGGTGTGTATGTTACAGAAGCCTATCGCATCTTAATTACTTAGTTTTGAGTCGTTTGATCTCACTTTTTCTGCCATGAACCTCTATTTCGGAATCTTCTATTCTTGTTTATGAGTTAGGGATCTGTTGCTTTCTCCGATTTGTTAGATCTGAATGTTTGTTCGCTGGCGGCTCCTTCTCCTGTCACTGCGAATCGTCTGGTCCTTTATAAATATGAACCATATTTGTTGGGCGAAGCGTAATACTTGCTCCTGCAAAAATTTTCCCGACTGGATCATACTCAATCTGCTTTGAAACGGAAAGACCCAATGTTAAATTGTTAATATTGCCGAAGGTTTTGCTATGAACGGGAAGACTCAATTTGTTCATACTCTGCGTGAATGACGTGTTAAGCTAGTAAACAACATTAACGAGGTGAACTGTAATTCACCAAAAAAAAGAAGATAAAATATAATTTTATCTATGATTTTCTCCTTCTTGGTTTAATTTCTCAGATGTGCGAAAGTAAAAAGATTGTGGAAGTGACAAATAAGATCAGGAATACAACTGCATCTGCATCTTTACTTAGCCTTGAAAAAATAATGTGATTTTAGGAATGAGCAAGCTAATTTGTAATATGAACAATATATACGTTTATCTCCTCGCGATAGAACACGATTAAATTTATCTTGATTAAAAAATATATAATTTCGTGGCAAAAGGTGCAAGCAGGGGAGAACTGCAAATCAAGTCGACATTATCCCTTTCCACCTCTCTACTGTGAGGAGGGTGATCTAAACAATGGGATCGAGAAATCTGATCATGAGCCCTAACCGGAAAATGAGCTTATCCATTTTCCTCTCTCTACACAGGAAATTAAGGTTACCAACAGGACTCCCTTTGTCCGAATGAAGGAAGGAAAGCTTTTGTGGTGCTTGGACCTGTATGTAAGGAGGGTGAATCCGTGTGAATGCCAAGACGTTTAAAGTGAGGGGAAATAATCTGGTGTTTTCATTGTGTTTGTACAATTTCGTAAACCAACGCCATCCAGCATGGTGAACGACAATCAAGATCTATCTAGAACTTATAATGGATCTGACGATCTATTTTTTGCCAACGCAAAACTAGCTTCTTTTTTTGGCACAAGAGAGGGCCTTGCCCAAGAAAGATATTGTTTGGGATTCAATCCCCGCATGAACGCAAAACTGAATGAATCATTGGTCCAAGTAGCAATTAATCATTGGCCCATATCAAGGCTGTCCAACTAGCTTCACGAATTCGTTAAAGATTATTGTGAAAGACAAGGCCCAGAAAGCAAGGGCCCAAAAAGCTGTTCGTAGTGTTGGCATTTCGTGTTATGAGTGGAAAAATAAATGAAAATCGCTAGAAGGAGGGCTTGAACCTCCGACCTTGTGGTTAACAGCCACACGCTCTAACCAACTGAGCTATTCCAGCTTGTTGTCGTGGAGCGCTTCTTTGCCATAAGTGGTTTATCCATTTACCCCATGAAACATGCTATGCGTAGCTGTCTCATATCAGTTTTTTTTTCCCCCCAAGAAAAATTATATTGGAGGAATACATGTGATGTGGCTTAATACTATTATTAAAAAAAGAAAATCAATAATAAAGTTATACCCTTTTTCCCCCCAGTTAGTTGCATAATATTAAAGTCTCTTCTCGAATTATAATATGTTGTCTAGATCGCTGCCCTATCATCCTTTGGTTAGATATTGAAGTTCCATTACTGTGTCGGGCTACTTGTTAATATCGGAAATAAAAAAGAAATCCAAAAAGAAAAACATATAAGAAGAGACTTTTTTTCGGTCGAAAATAAAAAGAGAATAAATGTGCTATGCCACTAACCTTTGATCTGGATGATGCTGAATTGAGATATTCCACTCGCAACAAGTGCCTGACTTTTGTTATGCCACGAAGAACCACGAAGGTGAATTAAGAAATCTTTATTTACTTGGTAATTGCTACTTCCGGTTTTTAATATAATATCTAATTAATTAATTTAAAAAAAAAGTTACAAAATTACTTAGTTATAGCTTATGTAATATGATCTCTTCAAAATACTTATATGTATTATTAAATTATATATCAGATTATGAGTTGGACAAATTAGTTTAGAAAAAAATAATAAATATAATATTTTAAGATAATTTATTTAAATTTTTTTAATCTTTTCCAATTAATCAATTGAGTCTTATACCAACGATTGAAGGTAGCAAAATATAATTAACTAACTTTTCAGTTATGTGTAATTAGCCTTGATGCAGAGGAGACAAGTATGAAGTGCTTATATTATTAAGGGCTGAATTTTTATTTTTTTTTTTGACAGAGCTGGTTGATAGTGTATTTGTTATCACAGGAGAGTCAAAATATGGTTGTACGGTGTCATCAATGTTACAAGGAACACACCTGTGATGTGGATGATGAAGCAGATCAACCACCACAGGCAGCGCCGCAAGCAGCGGCGGACGACCTGTGATCGCGCTTCGACGCGGCGGCTTTGGCAGCGCGGTCGTCATTGGAGGCGCCATCTGAACAGAAGAAGATGACAGCAGAGAGAAGTGAGAGCGTAAATAAAGCAGCCCACAACACAAGAATTACTGCTCCGACTTCATCGCCGCCGTAGCTAACAGCACTTTCATGCTCTGTTAATTTCTTCAGATATTTCCATTCCTCCCCATCTAAGCAACAAAGTCCTTGCTTTTTCTTCCTCTTCCATCAGAAACACATCTTAAAGTAAAAGATCTGCTACGTACAATGTATTTTCTGGCCTCTTGTCCTCTTCGGGCCAAATTATTTGCTAGACATGTAAAAGTACTGTTTTTTTATGTTTATTTTTAAATTAAATCTTGATGGAATTATCGTTATTATTATTAATTAAAAAACATAAGACCATTATTTATGTGCAGTAATAGTTAAACATTATTTACTGGATCTAACTTGACTGAATGTTATCATGGGCCGAGCAAAATTTTCTGGCTACCATGGATACCTTTCTTCTATGATAATTTTCATGGAGCCTTATGCATGTGGCAATGCATTACAAATGAATTTATGTGAAGTATTAGAGCCATATTTTTTCTTGGTTATTAGAGGTTTAGGTTATATATGTATATATTTATCTAGATTTTAGCTAAAGTATAGGTATTCTCCTATTAGAGGTAATCTAATTCAAGGCACTTTAGGGCACTTAATATGGGTATCTTTTTCAGTGGGAATTTGAATCTTGATTCTCCACGTTATGAGAGGTTAGTTCTTTCTACTAGACCCAACCCCTGTTATTGATTTAGGCTTTGTTTGGTTCAACAGAAGAGAGGGGAGGGGAGGTTAATTAAAGGAAGGGGAGGGGAGGGGAAGGGAGGTCATGGTTTTGTTTGGTTGGAGGGAAGGAGAGGGAAGGGGAGATTTCTTGTTTGGTTCATAAAAAGAGGAGAGGGAAGGAAATTATAAATTGACAAATATGCCCTTATCTCTATATTTAGGCTGATATTTTTATTACAATATTTATGTCAAAATTATTATTTCTTAATTTATCAATTTCAAAAAAAAACCAATTACCTCATTTACATGTGATAAAAAAATGATACAACTAAAAAAAATTAGAAAATATGATAAAAAATTTAATATTCTATCTCATTAATTTTATAAATATATGTATTAATATATATATATGATATGTATATATCATATAATTATAACACGCACATTATGATATGTATATATTAATATATATGCATGTTATCTGAGATTATAATACACACATGTTATGATATGTATATATTAATACATATGATATGTATATATTATAATATTATAATCATCAAATATTATTAGTGGCTAAAAAGAGAAAGATGTGAAAAAAAGATTTTTAAAGATGGACAAATTTGGAATATTAAAAAGTTAGTATGGGTAGTTTGGTCAATATTAAACATAATATTTCTCTCCCCTCCAAAAAACCTCAAATTTAGAGGGGAGCATGGGGAGGAGAGGGGAGCACTAAAAGTCAAATTTCTTCCCTCTCCTCCCCTCTATTTTTCCCAACCAAACACACTTATCTTCTCTCCTTCCCTCCCCTCAAAAACCCTCCAACCAAAACCAAACAGAGTCTTAGATTTTAGGGAATATAGATGTGTACATATAGTGGGTGGGAAAAGAGGTCCAAATCTTATCCTTATTAAATGGAGTGATCCAAATAAAGAAGTGGCCCAAATATGTTCCCCGCATTGCTTCCTACATTTATTTCAATTAATTTGTTTTGCCTCCCCTCTTTTCTTCCCTTCTTTTTCATAAATCTTTTTTTTTTGTTGGAAATTTTTCATAAATCTTTTAATTTTTAGTATTAATTAATAATGAATAATATCACATGAACAACCAACAACCATTAGTCCTAGCAACAGGGATTTTGACTAGGGCTAAGCAAATTAAAACTGAAACAAAAAACTAAATAAAACTGAATTCAATTCTGTTTTTTTTCCCGGTTCAATTAATTTAATTCTTATCGAAAATTGAACTGAAAACCAAATGCTCACCTCTAAATTTTTGGGCCATTAACCATAAAGTCTTAAGTTCGAATCCATGTAAATGCAAAAAAAGCCTTTGAGAGAGCTATGTTATAAGAATAGTTCAGAGCTTAAAACAAAAACACATTGAAAGAAATGAAAAAATTTCAAATTTTGTAATTAAGAAATATTTACGAACCTTGATTACTCCCATTTTGCTTTAATACTTCACACAAACACATGCAAAGATTCAATCAATTACAACAATTTCAAAGCCTTGTTTGAAATTTACAGAGCTAATAATACAGGAACACGAAGCACACATACTTGATCGAAGTGAAGTAATGGGGAAATTAACAAATAAAATGAAATTTTCAATACAATTATATATGTCATTATATTAATTTATTTATACTTCTTTTCTTTGACAGGTCCTCTTGGAATCTTGTTGAGAACTGTAGAGTCCAGTGTGCTCATCAATCTTCTCAAGTCTTGGTTGCCTTTGCTTGCCAGATAATCCACCTCATACTCATATCTCTCGTACATCACAGGTAAGCTCACCATGCACAGCAACACTTCATTCCCCAAATCAAACAATACCAGAATAATAATCAGTAATTAATTAATTAATTAATTAATTAATGGGATTGAATGAGAATTTTATTTCTTTTTTAAAAAAATGATGCATAGATTATCAGTTTCAGCAGATCTTACAGAAGTACATCAGATTCAGAGTGGTGAAATAATTCCCAATGGCTGACATGATCCATAGACCCGCGATCGTCTGAACAAAAAAATTAGCACTCAAAATTAAACTTGATGTTAATTGATTACCAGTTATTTCTTTGGTCCCAAAATAATTAAGGATCAATCAAATTAAAGTATATATGAACGAAGATAGTTATGAATTGCATTTTAATTAATTTATGATTATATGTACCGCAAAGAAGAGGGAGAGATCTCTGCCAATGGAGATCTCATAGAATTTCCTCAAGAACCAATTGACTCTTGCACAGAAGTGTCTGACTGTGGATTCTGAGATTTGAAGATCATGAACACCAGGAGGACCCCTGCCAACAAAAAGAACATCAAAGATGTACAATTTGCCAAAAAGATTATTATTTTTATATTAATAACCATATGATAATAGATAATACTACAGCTATGTCAGATTTAAGTATTATCGGGTTTTATCTATAAAATAAAATCTATGACTTTAGTCAAAAAGGTATCAAGTTTCTTTCATTCGACCCAACATGAAATTAAAGAGCTGCGTACCAAGTGATGAGTCCGGCGGCGTTGTACCAGAGGAAGAGGATGAGCATGGCGGCGAGGAGGAGGTGACAGAGAAGGGTAACAAAGGGATATTCCAGTCCCTCAAAGAGGAACCAAATGAAAGTGAAAGCTCCCACAATTGCCCCTGTCTTCTTCTTGTCCTTCCATAGCATTATATCTGCCACTGCAGATTCATATTCATGCATGTCTTCTTCATTATTCTGCATCTTTCCAATATTACGTGTCTCTAATTCTTCATATGTGTAAGCAAAATTCTTTTGCAATTGAACATATTATTCATACGAAGGAACTAAAATATCTTATATTTCTTGTTGTGTACGGTTGCTTCAAATGTATTTTGTGAAATGTCACGTTATATAAAATAATAATAATAGATTATTTGGTAATTATAGTGTGAATTAAATATCATGTACACGAGGTTTGGAGTTTTAAATAATTAACATGAAGAAATTAAGACCGATGCAATTAATGAAAACATGCTTCCAACGCTACAAAAATTCAATATTTCCTTCTCACACGCTAAATTTTCCCAAAGTTTATAAACATGCAAATTGATTAATTAAAAAATGTTAAAAAAAAGACAACAAAAAAGAGAGGCATATATATGTGTGTGTGTGTGTAAAGCTAGAAAGTGTCTTACAGCTTCCGCCACCAAGGGCGGCGTGCAGTGATCTGTCATAACCAAAAAACCTGCGCGGTTTAGAAGATTCATAAGAAGAAGAAGAACGGCCTCGCATGGTGAGATATGTGTGTGTATATATATATCCAAACTTGTATTAGATTGGCTCTCCGTTGTCTATGATGATCGATGATAATTCTCAGTGGTTCATTTGATATATAAATAGTTACAAGTCTGAGAGAGGAGGATTGAAATAATGTATATATTGTAGGGTTTGTTCTAAACTTGGGGACAAAGATATTAATATAATTCAATATCACAGAGATATTCTCATGCAGGAAAGGGATGCCTTTTGCATGCCCTTCAAGCTTTTTAGTTCCCTCCTTCTCAAACACCTTTCACCTACTTATCCTTTGTTTTCTTCTTCTTCTTGTTGGTGAAAAAGAAAGGTTCTTCTTCTTCTTCTTCTTCTTATTTTATTCTGTTCAAAAGCTATTCGTATGAACGATGAAATGGTTATAATTTATATATAATATTATTCTGACTAAATTGCACATGATTCCTATATATTTTCCTGTCAAAATTGACATTCACTCTCCTTAAAGTTTTAAATTTTCGTGTACATGGCTAAACAATTGTATGTGATTTGAAGTTTTCCGAGATACATTTTCGATGGATTAAACCCAGTTCGGTCAGGCCCAAAATAAGCTTTTTAAATTTTGGGACTCAATTTCTTGTTGGGGCTAAGTCTATGCTAACATGAATAGAAATTTTAATAAAAGTATATTTTTACCTTTTTGAATTATATATATAATTATAATTTGGTTATTTAATTTTATAAAGAATCTTTTCAATGTTTTAACCATTAGTCTCAAATAATAATTTTTTGTGACAATCATTGCCACTTTTAGGGATGTTTAACTTGTTTTGTCTCGGTCTCAATTAGTTCGAGATGAGACGGGATGAGACAAAAAAAAAATTGAGACAGGATGACTATGGATCAGGATAGGACAGTAACCAGGACTGGACAGGACGCGGGACAAGGTCATCCCGTATAGTCCTGTACATGAGTGTTTTTTAAAAAAAAATTATTTATTAATAATAATTATTATTTTTATGGTAATGTTCAGCTCTTGAGTTACAATATTATCTCAATAAAATCTCTTTTCTTAATAAAATAATTCATAAAACTATTATATAGTGTTTCTTTTATGGTATTTTCTTTTACAATATTATTTTTACATCTTTTTAATACTATATAAGCTTTTTACATGAGATTTTCTTATAATATTTTTATCTTTAGAAGCCCAATAAAAAATATTATAACATAGAAAAATTCATGAAAAAATTATAGTGTTTTTTTTTTTTTAAAAGGGGAGCAGGATGGGACACAGGACGAAAATCCCATGCTGTCTTTGTTCTTTGGGACAAGACCGGGACAAGCCTGTCTCAATCCCATCCCGTGAACAGCCCTAGTCCTTTTACAAAATTAAATTTAATACGTTAATATTTGTAAATATTTTGTCATTATTTAAAATTTTAATATCATATCTTTTTTTATGCAATTAATGGTGTTTGGATGGTAGGACTAAAAAGAAAATTTATAAAATTAAAAGATGGAAATAAAATTTTGCTTGAAGTTAAAGATTCAAAGATACTATTTTACCTTTGACCGGAAAAAAAACCTTTTACCTAAGATTTCAAATCTTGAAATCTTGAATAATAATGATAAATTAGTTTTGTTGATGATGACATCATTACACACAATTATCACTTAGGACAATTTTTTACCTCAATATCACCTATTAGTGCAATTCAAACTTCCAAATTCCATGCATTATCATAATTATATATAGAATCGAACGTTGTTACTCATGGTCCCCTCTACATTGTGCAATTAATTATTTTTTCATGTAGTTAATGATAATTATATGATACTGCATCATTTCGTAGATAAGAGAAGAACCATTATCCAATAATTTTATTTTAAAGTGACTTCTTTTATTTGTTATGCGTATGTATTATATTTATATGTATCAATCTCAATCATATCGAAGAGGAAACATGTAGCAAATTGCAGTTTAGACCCACTTTAAAAATGGAGGATCTACCTTAAATTGATATGGCCATAATGTGTAGTATATTTAATAAGAGGGGCCAAATACATTATTAAAATAGTTTACTTTATTTAAATGACAAATTGATATGGCCCTAATGTGTAATATATTTAATAAGAAGGGCCAAATACATTATTAAAATAGTTTACTTTATTTAAATAACAAATTGATTCCTTTAATTTACTTTTTTTCCAGAGAGCGCAAGTTGTGAATAGTTGGATTCTTCCTAAATGCTATTACCTTTTCTTCCAAATTCAAAATGGCAGAATCTTATGTTTTCGTTGAATAAAAAGAAAATAATTATCATAAAAATGATGTAAAAATAAAATATTATAATTTACTTAGACACATTATGCTTAACACATACATTACATTCTTTTACACTTTTAGTCATTAAAATAGAGCTACAAATTACGAAAACATAAATTAAAAAATTAACTGAACTACATAACTGTGGAATATGAATAGATAAAAAATTTATTTTATACATTTTAAATTTTCAAAAAACAATGATATATAATGGATAAAGTTTTAGTGAGAATGAGAATAACGTTCCAAAAGATTGAATTAACATTATTAAGTCCTGACAAAATTTTTTGAAATCTGAGTTATTAATAATAATCCAAACAATTGCAAATTCAGAAGTTTTAATTGGAGAAAGTTTTTCCATTAAAATTTTTATTACCAAGAAAGGCCTAATAAATTCTTGTATGCAGATAATGCCGATATTCTGCAAATTTTATAGGAATAATTAATATGCAAGTCCTTGTAGTTTCAACTGGTTTTTAATCAGGTCCTTATAATTTTTTTTCTTTTTATCAGGTCCTTATACTTTCACATATTTTTAATCAGGTCCTTATAATATTTTTTCTTTTTATCAGGTCCTTATTGTTTTACTTTGTTTTGTAATTAGGTCCTTGTAGTTTTTATTCTTTATTTTATAAATAATAAAATTTTAAAAATAATAAATTATTGTAACAATCTTATGTTAATATTCTTTTAAATTTTTAGTCAAACAAATATATTATTTATTTTCAATTCTAATTTTTATAATTATAAGATTCAAATTACAATAATAAATTTTTCTAAAATTAAAATATAATTATAAATAATTTATATTTAAGTACAATTATTATTCTGATTATTTATTAATTACTAAATGATTATATTAATTATTTTGTCTAATTATGTAATTATTAATTTAAAAATGAAATTAATTTTTAAAAATAAAGTTAATAAATAATTTTTTAAAAACTTCAAAGGACCTAATTAAAAAATAAATGAAACTATAAGAACCTAATAAAAAGAAAAAAAATAAAAGGACCTAATTAAAAACACACAAAAGTAAAAGGACCTGATAAAAAGAAAAAAAATTATAAGGACCCAATTAAAAATCAAATGAAATTATAAGGACCCGGAGATTAATTATCTCAATTTTATACATACTATGTTTAGAAATTAGATTTGAGTTACTCTCACCAATAAAATTTTGAATAGGAAACTTTACTCCAAGTTTAGTTTCAAAAGTAACTCTTAATTTTGACTAAATACATATTTACAACTTTTTAAAAAAATAAAAATAAAAATCAAACTATCATTATTTCGCTCCTTTTTGACCTGATCAATTCACTGTTTTGAGACTTAATTCTTCCTAAGTTTGTGAAATCATTTTAATGAGTTAGGGCAAAACAGTAAGCATAATGATTGGGAGGGCTCATGAATTTTGACCAAAGGTAAAACAAGTCTTTTTCACATTTCGCATCGCCGAAAGTCGCTAATTAAGCGTGACATTCTACAGCAACTTTGATTAGCCCTTTTTTTCCCACTTGCAAGATTCAAGATTGTGACTTGAGAGTTAATAATTATAGCATTACCTTCCAAATTTTATCTTATTGGCCAAAAAAAATTATCTTAGTTCATTCCATTCAAGGACCACATTAGTGATGATGATAATTCTAAATTTATTGACAAATAGATTTTAAGACTTTGACATTTTATATATAAAAATACTTATGTGTTTCTGATGATCTCTGTTTCATTGGTGGACTCCAGTTGAGGTTAATCATTTTCCAACATATAGGAAATAATATTGGTTTTGATTAATAAATTGGTATATTAGTGAAATGATGGAGGCAAAGCAATGCGTCCCCACTCTAATAAAAGCAGACCAAATAGCCAATTAAGGCAACAAAGTGCTCCGCAAAACCATGTTATGAGCCATCCATGCCTCCCTCTTTTTCAGCCTGTTGGGTTAATGTAGTCTTGGGAAGAGGACTAATGATAAAATTTTCAAAAAAAAAAAGGAATTACAAATTCGGAAATCTAAATTACGCATATTCCTACTTGCAACACTCTGAATTGATATTTACAACTTATTTTTCTGAATAATTTTTTTCGGTAATCTAAGTGCTATTAATTTGATCTTTTGGGACTTAGGGAATGTTTGAATAAAAACCAAACCATGGTTTCAGAAGTACTTTTACGGTTTACGAAGTAAATATATGGAGGAATTTGCTTCGTACTTTTACGGAAAAGTGCTTCTAAAATCATGGTTTGGAGGTTGCCAAACACCCGCTTAAAATGTCATTCTCCTCACAGTTATAATATCAAGGCAGACACTAGAAACCTTGACATGAATAAGCTAGGGATTTCTATTTGTTCGTCTTTTTGTCTATCTAGAGATCTCTTGTTAGTAGAGTACCTACTGACAAAGAATAAGTTATTCACAAGCATGCCGGGCTACAGCAACATTCACAAAGTAATTTCCATGTTGCTGCAAGCCCCATTGTCCTCCCACTGTCTATAAATAGTGAAGAAACCCACCACACCTTTCAGCAACCAACACATTTCCATTCACCACAGATCCATCTGAGTCTCACATTCATTCAACTCTGACACTCACTTTTCTTATTATTCTCAGAAAATAATGAAGATCCCATATGTGACACTCTGGGTGATGCTTGTTCTGCTTTCTGCAGAAACAGAGGTTTCACTGGCAGTGACCTGCAATGCCCTTCAGCTCAGTGCATGTGCGAGTGCCATCACTTCCTCAACCCCTCCCACGTCTCTGTGCTGCACCAAACTCAGAGAACAGAGGCCATGTCTTTGTGGGTACATGAAGGACCCTAACCTCCAGAAGCTCGTCAACTCTCCTAATGCCAGAAAAGTTGCTGATGCTTGTTCCTCTCCATTCCCCACTTGTCGATGAAACCTTCCTTTTTCTTCGTTCCTTAGCTTATTCTCTTTCAACACTCCACAGTACATCTTGAAAAGAGCTATTAATTAGATTGTTCAGAGTATGATCCTACACAGTTTCTGGGTTCTGTTTTGATTGAAGTCTGGCCGGTCGTATTGTGTTTTGTCTGTCTTTTTTGCGTCGATACTAGATGTTCTGAGGTGTTATAAGTACGGTGTAGTATCTCATACACTTCAAATGTTCGTTAAAATGTCAGGTAAATCAGTTGTAGATGAGCCTCCTATCTCGTATTTGCTGCTCATATCTTATTCTGAGAGAAAGGAGCACTTTGTTACAACTATGATGTAGTATCTTAAAATGTTCGTTCAAGTGTCAAGTTTCTTCAACAGTCTATCTTACAGTGATAGTTTGCAGCTTATGTTTATTTTGATTTTTGAGAGAAAGGAGCACTTTTTTTTAAAAAAAATAAAAGGATCAATTATATGAAAAAAAGAGAATTATACAACTAAAGTCGACATTAAAGGAATTGGGCAAAAAGAAACGAGTAAAACATCATTTGTGTAAAAAGAGTAACTAAAAAAAGACTGAAATAGTATGTTAACGTCCTATGTCAGGATGCCATTGGAACTAGAAGCACTTAATTGCATTTGCTTTGGGAAGAAATGGAAGAATTTTTTAAGAATCCTATTAAATCCTTTTTTTTTTGTTGAAAGATGGTCAGAATTTCATCTTGATTTGAATCTTATTGAGAGGCCTACTATATAATTAGAGATTGTTTGAGAAAAAGCCTTATACCTTTACATTAATACCACGTTTAATTTAAGAAAAATAAAATTTTTTTGGACTAAAATATCCCTTTGAGATGACATAATTGCTCATCAATTAATACTAACTGAAGCAATTGGTGGTAAGACCATTTCATTGACATTGTATTGTTCTTCGGTCATTTTAGTTAGAGCTGTCAAAATAGACTGAGCTTATCTGTTTAAGCCCTTTTAAGTAAAGAGTCGGGCTTATATTTTAGGAGGTTCAAGAAAAAATTTGACTTAAAAGGGCTAGTCCTTAAGTCCTATAAGACACAGAAATAAAAAGGCCAGCTCGTGAGAGCCGAGGGTTAGTCCTTTTAAACTCATATTTTTTTTTTATCATTAAGATATTTATACAATTATGGATTAGTTTTTTATGGATAAGTCTGAATTAAAAAATTATTTAGAAAACCCAATACTTAATCTATATAATTGGAAACAATTAGATGTCTTGAACTGGTAGAAGGATAATTAAAATCAATTTCCAATTCTTTCAAAGATTGCAGTTGATATTCTTAACATTTCAATCATTACAGTGGGTAGTGAATTTTCCTTTACCATCAGTTCACATGTCTTAACAAAGTATAGAAATTCTCTTATTTTAACAAAAGTTTAGGCTCTCATTTGTATTCATAACTACTACATAATTTTACTTTAGATAATGTGATGAAAACAAAAAATCTGATATTTTGTTCACTAAAGAAAAGCCCACCTCTTGTGAAGAACAATCAAATATTGTTGATCTTGATGATTGTGACGAAGATGAAGATAATAATCATATTGATATTGTTAATCTTTAGTTGCTCAGTTTTTATATTTTTGCTTTCCCTATTTTATTTGTTTTTTTTTTAAGTTTGGATAATAATTCATTAGTATTTGATGTTTGTCTCTGCACATCATTCGTTTATTTTACTGATTATAATTTGAGCAAAAATTTTCAGAATTTTTATTGTTTTATTTTTTATTTCAAAATAATTAAAAAGAGTTTAATTTTAAAAAATAACATAAAAATGCCAGCTTTTTTAGACCCTAAACCTACACATCTGAGAATCGAACTTTAATAATATGATAATTGTAAAGAAAAGGTCCGCGCCTTAGCCCTTCAAGACCTAGCCCTTCAGGGCCTTGCAGCTCTAGTTTTAGTGTCTTGGTTGCAAGCAAAAATGCAAAACGTATAATTATACAAAATATTGTTAATAAAGGGGGCATATAAAATAAATTCTTTTAAAAAACTTATTAGGATTTAGCAATAAAAACTACTACCATAAAGAAATGGAGAAACAGCAGATAAACATGTTCAAGGTTTTGATATTTCCCCTCTTATTATCGTAGATTAATTTATTCAAAAAATTAAAATATTAAACAGAAAGTAATCTAGTATGCTTTCTGTTGATGTAACTTTAGCTTTCAAGATGTTATTGATAAGAGTAGATTCAAAATTTCAAAAGTACGAAAGTTGCATGAAAGGGTTTGGATTAGTTTTTTAGAAATGATTTTACGGAATTTAAAATATAAGATATTTTTTTGACTTACGTAAAAACACTTTTTTAAGATACTTTAAAGGGATCCCAAACAACAATTTTATCCTACTAACAACAATTTTATTAGTATCAAAACTACTCAAAAACAAGTTCTACAGGTAATTCAACATATTTGGGGCAATTCAGCCAGATCTAACAAGCTTTTTCTGTCAAAATTCCCCCACAAATTAAAGCTAGACCCTAAAAAGAGTTGATCAGGAAATAAGGGGAAAGAACATCCCCTTCTCTTAACTTCATAAAGATAGTTCCAAAAGACCCAGAAACAATGGATATGGAGGACTACATATATATATATATATATATAATCCAGCAGCACTTGTAAAGCTTCTCAAACTCTGCACATGCACAACCATTAACACACCCCAGAGGAACCTTAATACAGATGCCTGTCTAAAGCTTCACTGCTTCACTGCTTTTATTACCAAAGCAGGAAATCATAAACGACAGAGTCTAGCATTTTCTTTTTACGCTTTTTTCTTCCTGTCATTTTAGTGAGAAACTCCAAATTTCATTTGAATCTAGCATTTGAAAATGGGGCAAGCTAGGACTGCCACTTGACAACAAAAGTAAGATCCAAGTTCACAGCATCACCGGCAGAAAAACAGAAAATCGGGGTGATTGACCTGAAGCGCTCTTAACTGATCATGAGCAGCCTGCAAGAGAGCACTAGCTAATTGGCAATCATATCCACCGTTTGGAGTCCACATAGATGCTTTGAACTTGTATGAAGCAAGACCAAACACAGGTAAAGACATTTTGGGGATGCCATCCATCCCACTGGGACATGTCATTATGGGGGCCTGCACACTTTGTGAACCTGAAAAATGTTTGTTCAACCTCATAAATGCAACTGAATGGGGGGGGGAAAAGGAACAATTTGTTTGTCATAGATACTAATAAAGCTGTTCATTCATTAACCTCCAACAATCTACAGCAATCACACAATAATTCACCTCCGTAAATGATTATGATGAACTCAGAAGTGCACGAGATCAAAGAGAGGAACATTGACCCAGACAAAGCACATCTATACGGAAGTTTAGGACAGCGGCATATCTCAAATAATGGAATATCTTGAAAGAAGTCCAATTTTAGAACAACTGACAGTAATATAATGTCTTTTCCACGAAAAATCTAATTTAAAGAATCGCCATAATCGTAAAGAGAAGATGATCTACAGGTGTATGCAATGATACCTTAAAAAATTGAACAGTTGAGTGAAAACAGCAAATGTCAGGTTCTCCAAGGTTTCAACAGAGGACGTGAAGTTCAAACATTAAAGATAGAATAAAGGTATGCAAACATCTGTAGAGAGGATAAGATAGACACCATACGCTAATATCAAGTCAAATTCCTAAGAATTATCTCAACCAAAGGGTGATATCATTCTAGGTTTATTCATAAGATGTTGCATTATTTTACGGGTATTATTTAAACATTGCATTTGATGCATCTGTAAATTAATATATGAAATTTCATCATGCTAAGGATAATTCAACAATCTAATTAAACGCAACATTATACTTCTCAGATTTCATTACAGAGCACAACTTCAGTGCACGAGAAATGAAGTGAGAATTACATCCTACCTTCCACAGGTGTATGAAGAGAATGAAACGTCAAAAAGCAAGCATCAAGATCCTTCAGTGTTGGTCCAGTCGGTATTCTGTAAATAGGATACCTACAAGTAGAATAGGAAATTGAGTTGCTTGTACATCTGTAAACTTCTCAACGAAGCACAATGGTAAAGAAATAGTACCATGCTACAGAAATCCAACTAGAAGATAGTATATCACAACTTCTAAGCCTCGAAAGCTCAGGGAAACGAAAAGCAAGATCTGATATCTTGTCGGCCAAAGGTTCACGGCTATAAGGAGGGTTCCGTTCAAGATACTCAAAAATTAAGTGGCCTTGAGAATTGATAGCCTCACCATCATCACTAGAAAAGCCATCCTGAGGGTTATTTTGGTGGTCTCTCAAGGATAATCTGTCCATCTGATGAGATACCTCATCTGAAGAATGTTGAAGATTTCTCTGGTCCCTCAAGTATTTCAATCCTCTTTCAGGTTCACCATCACTGCTACCGTCACTACTTGAGTCCCTGAAATCAGTGTCACTATCCTCCCCCAGTCGCCTGTTAAAAAGTGAAACATTCACATTGTTGTTCTATACAATAAAAATGAAGAACTTTTAGCTGTGGTGACAATCCCATAGTATCGAATAGTAGGAACCAGTGAACCACATTACTAATAAGAACGTAGAGGGGGAAGAGAGAGACAGAGACAAAGAGAGTCAGAAAAGGAGCTTTAAACATTGGCCAATTTGGTTGATTTCTATGCTATGATCAAAAGCATTTGATACAGCAACAATTTATATTAAAAGGTGTATTAGATTATTCTACAAACATAATCAATGATCAATTTGCTATCAAAATTGGCAACATAATTACAGAGTTTTGCTGGTTCATGTCCATTCACACTGCTTCACACACTCTACTCACATAGAATACCATAATAAAGAATTCAATTTCCATTTTAAAGAGAATAAGTATAAACAAGCTGGTGATACAGCTATGAGGAAGAAATAATAAAATGAAAACAACATAAATATGCATAAAGCGTAGGAAGGGAATGCAATAAAACAGAAGGCAACTAAAGGAAAAATAGAAAATGTTTCTTAAGATATACAATATGCCTGACGATCATGCCATTGGCACTGCCATCATAATATAGAAGGGAACATCATGTATCAGCACTTTGGATGAAAGGGAAAATTTAGAAGAATGACAAACAAATGACAACCAAGCATTCAATGATGCAGTCTAACTTTATATGCAAAGGATAAATAAGTATTCATATGATTTCAACAAGGTTTTCAGTTACCAGATTACCTTGACTTTGCAGATGACTTCACAGAATCCACATAAATTTGAATTCCAGAAAGATAGGGAACATAATACTGAACAACACTATCTTTATCATTGAGTACAAGGGACACTCCTGCACCATACGCACTCCACTCCCTGAAAGATTCCCACAAATCACCAAGAACAAAATACGGTTGAAACTCTCCGTCACATGTCTTGAAACTTTTCATAGCCGTCTGCAGTATCGAGATAACAGTTATAAAAGATGTCAACAAATAAAGTGATGTAGCAATTGACAAATTACCAGAAACTTTGATTCCTCCTAAAATATTTCTCTGGAGTTTATTCCCCATTCCTTTAGTTCATCCAAAACTACATAAAGCCTTTTTTTTTTTTTAATTATTTCACATTGATTCGTATGTTTCAAACAAATGCTTAATTGGAGCATGATAAATCAATGAAAGGCAATTTTATCACTTGTATCAATAACTTTCTAGTGACCAACCAATGAAAGAACAAGACAAACAAATACAACCCACCCAACCTAGAAGATCAAACTGAGTACCAGTAAGAATTGTAACCTTAGATGGATACTGAGCAAACACAGACGGCGTGATCGCCTGCAGGAACCGCTCTAAATTACTCAGTGGCTTCATCACAGGTTCACAAGTGGCTGACTTTTTGGCTTCATCAGATTCTATACGGTTCTCGGGTCGACTAGCAGTCAAGTCGCTGTGAGCTCTGCGTAGCCCATCATTTTCCATAGTAGGCCGACGCGCGTTTGCCGGATTATAAAACCGATCTTCTCCACGGGAGAGGCCAAATTGTAATCCGGCACCCAAAATTTGTATACACAATAAAAAAGTAGCACAGGAATGCAATTCCTAGAAGGACCCAGAAAAAAGAAAGGCAAAAAAAGTACTCTTTTCTGGTATCCGACCACGCCAAAGTATATGTACAGTCAACGATATTACGACAATCTTCTTCGAGATTGAGAAGTTCGCATCAGTGGCTATTAATCAGAGGAATGAAGCAAATGAACAAGAAAATGAGGGTTTTTGATGAAGGGTTTGAAGGTTCTGTGAATCGGCGAGCAGATGAAAACGTGATGAGAAATTGAATTAAATAAATGACCGAACGTGATGGAGGCAGAAAATGGATCTGGTTGGAGATTGCAGGGAAGGCAGGTGGGGTCGACAGAAGGGCAAAAGCGTAAATAGATTAGAAGGCGAAAAGGATTGATGCGCATGGCCCAGAAGATGAAGAAGCAGTTGAGAAAACACAGAAGAATGTGATGGGCAAAGCAGGCTCTGACTAAATGAATGGGCAACGAAGAACAAATTAGAAAACGATTCCTCTAAAAAAGAAAGATTTTTTTTTTTTCAAAGAACGCTTGGTAATGAGCAGTTCATTGATTTTTGTCTTTGTCGAATAGTTCATTCTTAGGCAGGTCAATTTGAAATTTGGACAAAATTTCCAGAGCAACGGTAGCTACACAATTTTGTTTTGTATCATTTAATTGATTATATTTTAATTCAATGTTTAATTTTAGCTTTAATATAAAGTATGCAAAATAATGGGCGGATATTAATAACATTGCAAACTAAAAATGAGAAGCAGGTTGCAAATTTATAATTTTTAAGGTTGCTAATTCAATAAAAAGTAACAAAAAATGACATCAATGATCATATAGGATTGCTATAAAATTCGGAGCATTGCAACTTATCTTGATTTCATAAATCACGTGCTTTTTTTAAATTTTTAATTTAGTCTCTTAATTAAATCTTTAATTTTGCTTTATTAATATTATTAATCCTTGCATAGACATTAGTCACTAAAAATACTAATAAAACAAAGTTATAAGAGCTAATGCTATTAAAAAAAGGAAAATTAAATGATTTAATAAAGAAAAAAAATACATAAGTATCAAATTAAAAATTAAGAAAAAGTATAAGTATCTCTAATATGATTTTCACTGGGAATATAATTCCTTGGTTAGTGTTTGTCATTGTGAGGTGGGCACTGGACAGTGAGTTCTCATTTTCCTCCTGTATTGTCAATTTGGTTAGTGTTTGTGGATAGTTTTTCTCTGGATGTGTTTTTCAGGACTTCAACAACCAAACTGGTTGTTTTCAAATCGGGTGAACAGGGAATGCTCACTTCTCAAAAGGCAAGGTTTGGGGATGAGATGCCATGTTTCCTTTTTTTCCTTTTTTTGTCTTAATTTTATTTTTGTTGTTGTTTAGATTAAATTGTATGTGAGACTTCAAAATATTTTTTCAATAACACCTAATATCACTAGTTAATTAATTTCTAATACATCTAGATAGAGTATTTTTTTCAATAACATTCAATATCATAATTAATTTTTGGTGCATCCAAAGTATTTTTTTTTTGGCTGGTGGATGCTACTGAAAAAATATTTCTGAATACTGGATATACAAAAAATTAATTTAAAATATTGAATGTTATTAGGAAAAAAAACTTGAGAATGATATATGTACTAAAAAATAATTAATTTATAATATGTGCTATTGAAAAAATATTTTGGAATATGAGATGCATTAAAAATTAATGAATTTATGATACTGGATGTACTAAATATTTAAAATGCTGAGTATGTTAAACATTAATCAGTTTAGGATACTGAATGCTGCTAAAAAGTTACAGGATGTTGGATATAACTTAATTCAGATAAATAAAAATTAAAAATTCTTTTTTTTTATAAAAAAAAAAAGGGTCTTTAAGGAATGAGCATATCTTGCCCATATATTGGCTGTGTTAAAGGTGAGACTTTTGGGTTGGTTCTTTTAATTCCCACAACTTACAATCGCATTGATGTTTATGATAACGTTTCTCCATCTAGAAACTTTGATGAAGGGGTTTTGACATTTTTGGTGGCATCTTCCTCTACTTTTTGGTCCTTTATTAGGGTTAGGTTTTGTAGTTTCTTTCAGGATTAGGCTTTATCTTAATGGAAATGCTATTTTCCATGTTGCTGGGTTTTCAAGATAATATGAAAGTAATTTAGCTCAAAAGTTTCAAAATTCAATAGAAAGCCGAACGGTTAGTTCGTAGATGACTCAAATGAGAGGTCTAGTAATTAGTTTTATTAGTTATGCACAATTTTGAGATAAACACATTAGTTATTCTCAATACTTTGTAAAATGGCATATAAAATAAAGTATAAATTTTTTCCAAAATGATGCCTTGCAATGGGCCATAGGGTTAGTATAAAATAAGTCTCAGTTTCTAATATGGCTAATCACGAATCGATGCCTAAGGTCAACTGGGTTTATCTAAAAATTATAATCATAATTGAACTACAAACTAAATATTATACTCCTCCGGTCCTAATTATAAGACCCAATTGACTTATTTGAGGAGATTAAGGAATTAAGTTAAGTTGGTTATTTATAATAAATAAGTGTTGTTATTCCTAAAATATCCTTGCTAATTAAGTATAGTGGCTAAAACTATCATTATTAGAAGAATTATCTTGGAAAAAAATACATAAATATAAGAGAGAAAATGGATTGGGTCTTATAATTAGGACCAAATAAAAAGTCAAATTGAGTCTTATAATAAGGACCGGAGGAGTATTAAGCATTGGAGTTGGCAATATATATATATATATATATATATATATGTATAATATGATATAAGAGTAATAGTCAAAGAGTACTCCAATATATTGTCTATTTTTTGTTGGTCGTGATCCTTTTTGATCTTTGATATTTGATATTATGAGATTAAATTTAAATACATTTGATCTTTTATTTTTATATCAAGTTTTAATTTGTTTCCTTAAATTTCAAAAGAAATGTTTTTAATTATTCACCTATACAATCGTTGGTATGATGCTTTTTAATAACAATCATAATTATTTTAAAAATTAAACTTAATAAGTTAATATTTGATAACGTTTTGTTAGCAAAAAGAAATAATATTTGAAAATATTTCATTAACACTTAAGACCTTAGCATCATCATTTTTATCAATGATTTTAAGATTAAAGAATCAAAAACGTGCTACACTTTAACCAATTTAAATACTCTCTTTAGTTCTTTTTATAAAATCTTTTTAATTAAATTGCACAATTTGAAAAACTAGTTAAAATTAGTTAAAAATAGTAAATACATAAAAATTAATTTTTTCAAGTATTTTATTATTTAAAAGGGGGCAAATAAGAGAAAAATGCTGGTGATGGGATAAATTATGAAAGAGAATATGGTACTTAAAAATGAGGATAGAAAATAGAAAACTAGTTTAAAAAAAGTAAAAAAAAATTAATTAATACTTATATCAACTTGTTTATATCCATTATCTCAATTTTTTTACACATAATCATGTGTCTTTTGTTTTTTAAATGAGTTTATCATAATAAATATAAAAAATTTTATGTAAATATTTTCAAAAGAACTTTAAAGAATGTAATAAGCTACCAACGCATGGGGAAAGGACACATTGATAAATTTAGATTTTTTTTTTGGCCAAATAAATTTAGATCAGATGTTAAGGGCGTTGAATCTCGAAATTGCACAGTTGGATCTAATTATTATTATTAATTCCATTAAGTCTCAACCAAAGAAAAAAGGACTATTGAGTTTGGTATTGTGATAAAGAAGTTGAACAGGCTCATAGGAAAGCCATAAGTTCCATTTTCAACCTATTATTATACGTCGATTAATTAAGATAATTTAAAAGTATTTGTTATCACATTTTTTATTTTACAAAAAGACATGATATTTTTTTAATTTGCTTTTGTGATAATTTTTAAAAAGGTATTTGTACGTCCATGACCAAAAAAATTTATGTGAAAGAACAAAGAAGTTTATAAGTTTATTAGAGTTTTCATAATGCCGTATATATCTGCATTACAAAATAGGAAAAATTAATTCTTTTAGTCCCTATAGTTTTTACTTATTTATAACTCATTTCTTATACTTTGACTCTATACAATTCAATCCTTATAATTTTGACTCGTTTGTAACTCAGTCCCTAAAATTTGACTCGCTGTAATTTGGTCCTTATACTTTTAACTATGTTATAATTTAGTCCCTCTTTTTATTAGATGTACAATTTTATTTTTAAAAAAATACAAGGACTAAATTATAAAATGGGTAAAATTATAAATATCTAATTATAGCGAGTCAAACTTTAGAGATTGAATTACAATTGAGTCAAAACTATATGTACTGAGGTTGTATCAAATCAAAGTATAGGGATTGAGTTATAAACATGTCAAAACTGTGGGGACCAAAAAATAAATTTTCCCTACAAAATATTAAAACTCTAATTTGGACAAAAACGTGAAAAATAAATATAAATATAAATTCGCTGCTAAAGTTGGTCAATGTTTGATCAGTTTATCTTAGATCTGTTTTGAAAAATCCATCTGCTTAAACCATAATAAATTCATCCGTTTCCAGTCAAATTCATTGATTTTTTTATATCCCATTTTTTAATCAGTGAAAAATAAAAAATACTTAAAATTAGTATTTAATATGTTTCACTTGAATTATTCTTTTTTTTGTCCTGAGCTGGCATGTGTTTATTGTGCATCTGAAGCCAAACCAAGTCAACAAAGTTGTCTCCTCATCACGTGTATTAAAAATTCTTGGTGATATACATTAGATTACACGTAGGTTGGTGATATACTACTATTAAATACATATCTAACCTAAATTGCCTAAATTAAGTTTTAATAATTTAGGTTTGCTTTTTTATTTTTAAAATCTAAGTCGTTTTAGTATATTTTGAATTATCGATCATGTATGTTCGCTACGCCTGCGCAGGTACACATAACTAGAAAATATGTCAGAAAATAAATAAA